GATGACAAATGCCAGGTTTCTAAAATGAAAAGCAAGCCCACCAACGGCTGTAACTTCTCACCATCGCCTGCCGTTTCCACAGCACGTGTCTTCTGGAAAGTCTTGGTCGCTTAATGATTCTGTTGCAGGTCATTAATCTGAGTGGATTATAGGCTCCTTAAATCTCCACAGCTCAAATTCACCAGCCCCTCGGAAGTGAGGTGATGAATAGCCCCACGTGGCCAAACAGCAGGAACAGACTCACTCTGTGGCCAGCCCCCTGGAAATGACCTCCAAGCTAGCGCTGCAGCCTGCAGCGCCCCACAGTGACCAGATAGTCACAGCAGGCACTAGGACGACTTCCTCGAGAGGGCACTGACCTTTCTCATTTAGCCCTCCAGTGACCCCTAGAGTTCCTCTAAATCCCCATCTTACAGCTTGAGTGATAAGGCAAGGTTCTCAAGGTCATTCCATTCCTGAAGGGCAGAGCAAAGAACTGAACCTGGGTCTGGGAGGGTCCTACGCTGACAGTTGCTAAGGTGCAACCTAGGGAATCAGAGTATACCTCCTCTGAGCTAGAATGCTCCCTCAGGCTGGCTTCTTGGCTCCACATTGGAGGGCACATCTATCAATAGCCACTTTCCCCCTCCTTTCTCCGTCTCTGTCTTTCTCTCTCTGGATCACTGGTTAGAAGTGTAGAGGTGAGCACCCTGTCAAGCCTAGGCGCAAGGACATGAGTTTCTCTCTCCACTATCCTTTGCTGCTGCCCCCCTGGGCCAGACAATTTGTGCCAAATCCACCCGAATTCATGTTCAGAGATCTGGAGGTGGGCGGCTAGCTGCCTTCTTTGTTCCTCTCTGCCCATGTTCTCAAGTGGAATCTGACAGGGATGCCAAGCTGGTAAAGATGGCAGAGAGGTTCCTTGCAGTGGAAGCAACTATCTCAAGAAAAGCATTATATATATAAAACGCATGACTTGTGAACTAAGTGACATAGAATGTTGCTGTTGCTTATTTATGCCCTCACAGAGAGAATATGAGATTGCTTACAATTAAAACCGACCCGGATCTGGGTTCAGATAGAAAGAATGAGCAAAACCCGATGGAAACTGTAACCTCAGCATCCTCTGATGGATGGGAGTGAGCACCCGCTAGGAGGGTGATCCTTCCCGGTAGTTAGGGACCACCCTCTTGATGTGCAATCTACATTTCTGTTTCCCCTGCTTGGGCAGGGTCCAGAAGTCACCACGTTAAGTCACCACCAGTTAAGGACCACATGTGTCTAAGAGGTGCTGTGTGGGAAGGGCCTCTAAGACCCTGAGACTAGGATTTGAATCCAAGTAGGTCATTTGAGGGTAGAGCCAGGGACCCTGGCGAGGGGTGAGGAGGGAGAAGCATCTAGAAGAGATCATCACCATTGGCAAATGCCGCTCTGGCTTTTTGGGAATTCGGGGAGACAGCTTTGCTGCTGCTGCTGGCTGCCGTCGCGCTGGCTCACTCTTGGGGCAGCCGCGGGCAGAACAAAACACTGCCGAACCTGTGCAGCCTTCACAAGGGTTGATGGGCTACACACGCCGTGGGGGCCACTGTCCTTTGGGGGCTCATCCTCCAGCACTCATAGACAACCGTCTGCGGCGATCCGATCCGGAGGGCTTTCATTTAGAACTAGAGTGCCAGGCCTTTCTTCTTGGTCTGTCTTCCCTTGGAGGCTCTGGGGACACCATCTACCATGGGTGACCCTGCTTGTATTTGCAATACCAGTGACAGTGACATAGCATCACAGCCACATGTACGCCACCAGACAGTATGGCAAGCTGAAAGGCAGGGAATCCTAAGAGCTGGTTTAGGGAATGCCTGTTATCCTGCCCAAGGAGCTTCCTTTAATCACTGGCTGAAAGGCCTGGTGGCCCAGTGCGTAAGTGCATGGCTGCTAACTGAAAGGTTGGTAGGTGAAACCCATCAGCTGCTTTGAGAGAGTGAAGTTGTGGCAGTCTGTGTCCACAAAGATTACAGCCTGGGAAAGCCTGGGGGGACAGTTCCACTCCATGCTATAGGGTTGTAATGAGTTGAACTGACTTGATGGCAGTGGGTACTACTAGTAGTAGGCTGCTGCTTCTGGGAATGTCAATGCTCGCATGCTCTGCACATGCTCCAGTAGCAGGATACAGTCCTCAGACAGTCTCAGAGGCGGGCAGCACTCTAGGTCATGAGGATCTGGTCAGAGCCCTGACAGCGACCTCTGCACCTCCAGAGAAGGCTGGGTATGCAGCCAAGTGTCCCGGGAGCTGGTGGAATCAGATCTCGGGCAAACCAAGACTCTAAAAGAAGATGCTGAAGTCTTGGGGGAAATGGAATGTAATGAAGGAAGGCCCAGGTAAGGCTTATCCAGAATCCCAAGAAGGCCATCCCGGCTTCTGCTACATAAGACTCCAGCCAGGGTCTCTGCTGTCAAGAGCATGGCCCAGGGTCCACAGCATCGGGTGGGCACCTACTGGGAGCTCTAGAGAAAAGCAACCTCAGCACCCACCCAGACCTGCTGAGTCGGGGCCGGGACTTTCATATGACTCCCAGGTAGGAGACTCCTCTGCCTCCAGGTGAGCTGGAATCTTCGTTGCATCAGGCACCCTCTCAGCCTAACCCCAGTGCCAGCCCTTCTGTAGTTAGAGCCACCCAGCAGTCAGGCCTCCCTGGCAGGGCCAAGCAGCAGGTTCCACTGGAAAATGCACTGGGACTGTCCCATTCTCATCCCGCGGATACAACCGCAGCACCAACAGCCACCCATCTGACCCGGCCTGTGGTGGTGACATCATTTCACATCGACTTGATAAAGTGTAGGGGTGGAGTCTAACCTTTCAATCAGGTCACTGCCTCATTGTGAATGTGGCCACCTCATGAGGATTCTGGGAACTTCCTCTCTTTCTCCTGGGAGGCGGGACACACTCTCTCTGCTTCATTATCCTATTGAAGAGCCACACTCAGAGAGCCGGAGGAGCCACATGGAGACCTGCACCAGTGCTGAGATGCTTCCACTACCATTGGATCCACAAGACTTTGCACCCACCAACCTGTGATCTTGTATTTCGCATCAGTGCATGTGACTGCATGAGTCTGAAGAAGGATTTTTGGACTAGAATTTATGGGCTAGTATTAGACTTATTGACTAGTATCAGACTTCATCTGGATTGGGCTGGGAGGTTTTCTCAAGATACAATTGCTCTTTGATGTAAAGCTCTCTTACACATGTATGAGTGCCTCTGTATTTGTTTCTGAAGTCAACTCACATGGCCTATTCCCTGACTGCTACGCCAAAGCCCCTGCCGTCACCACCTTTTTCACTCTGGCCTCCCCGCTTTCAGCTTCCTGCTCTTCGATGCTGGCCTTTTCCTAGCTGGCAGTCACCAAATCAGCAGATGCTGCGGTATTTGGATTTTCTTTTGATGTTTACTGCTTCTTGGGCGAGCAACAAAAGCCATGTAAAGCAGCCAGAGCAACCTTCTAGTTATACTTACTCATTCAACAAATATACACAGTTTATGAGGAAGCTTCAGATATCCATGGTAAAATGGCATGAAAAGAGCATGGCATTTTCCCATGAACTTTTTGAAACCTCGCGCGTGTACATGTGTGTGCATGTGCATGTAGCCCTAGTGGTGTGGTGAGTTATATATTGAGCTGCTAACCACAAGGTCAATAGTTCGAATCCCTCATCCACTCTACAGGAGAAAGATCAGGCTGGATGTCTGCTGGTGGTGTAATGGGTTATGCGTTAGGCTGGTAACAGCAAATCAGCAGTTCAAGACCACCGGCTGGCCCTTGTCAGAAAGATGAGGCTCTCTGCTCCCATCAAGAGTTGCAGTCTGGGAAGTCCACAGGGAAGCCCAGCTCAGCGGCAGGGTGTGTGG